CTCGCCTCTTCCATCGTTTTCTTCTTCTTTTTATCACCTTGGGCGACCCTTGACGCCCCTGCCCCCGTGCTTTCGTCGAGAGTGACGACTCCTCGCTGACTATCAAAGGCCAAGAACGGCGTTGCTCCAAATCGGGCCATAGAGGTGGTCTTCCGTTTAAGCTCTTTATTTTCGGCCTTCAGTGCGCCTATTTCTGCTCACGCATCCTTTTACATGCGCTGGAGCAAAGAGAGTTGGGCGTTGACCTAATGAAGCTCACTCATCCTGTTCTGCAATCGGTGAGCCAATTTTGTGACTGCCGACACCGTCTCCATACAGGACGTCAGAAAGATGACAAGAGGGAGAGAGAGTCGAGGCAGCTAATTGACTAATTGACCCATCTCGCTTTTGTCGGTCGACTGACACAAAAGTGAGGACGCGTGTCTGACGCGATTTTCGATGAACAAAAAAGAGACGCGGCGAATCATATATATATATATTTTAATTATCTATTTTTTTATGCCATTTATCACTATCATTTTCCTCATTCTCCTCCAGATTCTGAGCCATAATTTCCTTTTGATAATGTCACAAGAGAAGAAAATTATATGATATTATGTATTATGGTATTATTTTCAAACTAATCTGATATTATGTATTTATAATTTGATATCTTAGTCTCATTTCATGTTTCTAATTAAATCTTATTTATTACACATGTGCTAACCTATGAAATGAATTCAGAGAGCATGACTTGAGGGGGAGCTTTTCTTACTCCCAAATCAAATCAAAACATTATTGTGTGCCATCATCAAAAAACGAGAGATTGTTAGACTTATTTATTTTGATGATTTATTTAATTATGTTTTAATTTATTTGAAAAAGAAAAATATAATCCAAAATTTATTTTGATGATTTATTTAATTATGTTTTAATTTATTTGAAAAAGAAAAATATAATAAATATCGAGGTATGATCGGCTCACTTCTTTATTTAACTGTAAGTAGACCCGATATTATGTTTAGGGTTTGTATGTGTGTTAGCTATCAATCAAATCCTAAGGAATCACATCTCAGTGCTGTTAAAAGAATTTTTAGATATCTTGTTGGCACTCAAAATTGGGACTGTTTTATCCTAGAGGTGTTGCATTTGATTTAATTAGTTACTCAGATGTCGACTTTGCTGGATGCAAACTTGATAGAAAAAGCACGGCTATAAATTCAAATGACTACAACAGTTATAAACGGCTATAAATTCAAATGACTACAACAGTTATAAACGGCTATAAATTCAAATGACTACAACAGTTATAAACGGCTATAAATTCAAATGACTACAACAGTTATAAACGGCTATAAATTCAAATGACTACAACAGTTATAAACGGCTATAAATTCAAATGACTACAACAGTTATAAACGGCTATAAATTCAAATGACTACAACGGCTATAAATGGCTATAAACGGCTACAAATTCAAATGAATACAACGGTTATAAACGGCTATAACTTTCATTATATATACCAAAGCCTCTAATGTAAACTAAAAAAAAACAAAAAAAACAAAAAATATTCTTTGATCTATAATCACTCACATCTATTCTCTGAAAAATTCTCTAAAAAGTGTTCTTCAATTTTTGTTTATATCATCTCTCAGAAATTATACACTGAGCCTTATAGCATTAAGCTCATCTTGCCTGTGTGAGATTTACAGAAAAATCAAAGCTTCATTTTATATATCTATCTTTGAGAGATATTTATTGTAAGCTTTCTTTGAAAGCAAAAATACTATTTCATATTGGAAAAGTGTTGCAAACACTGTGTTCTTGAAATCTTGAGAGTAATTGTGAATCACCTAGGATTTGCAAGGGTTTGGACTTGTAAAGTCTGTGTAAAATCCGTGGAGGATTGCTCCATTTGTAAAAAGGTTGCTAGCACCCCTGTGAAGCTAAAAGATAGTGAAAAATCTCAAGTAAAACTTGAGGAGTGGACGTAGGCCGAGTTGAAGCCGAACCACTATAAATTTGTTTGTCTCTCTCTCCCTTATCTCTTTATTTTATTTTAAATTGCCATAGCTATATTTCACATTTTTGCTGTGCTAAAATCATTAACTGACATAGTTGTTAAGACATTTATTTTAATTATTTTTATTTCATTAATTATATTTATCAATTGTGCTAGTCATAATTTTTATTAGGGTATTATTAATTTTAATTATAAAAACTTAATTCACCCCCCCTTTTAGGTTGTCTTTTGGGTAACAACCCCCTTGTTAGAATTTTTTTATTTAACAAAATTAATTAAAAAAATGAAATTCATAATCGCTCTTCTATACAATAATAAAATTACCTAAATTATTAATTGAAACATATTTTTAACATCATTAAAAACTATTAATTGACTTGATGATTTATTAATAAAATAGGGCAATTTGTTATGAAATTAGAAATTTTAAGGAATGGAATATAAAAAAAATCATAGAGAGTGGAATGTAATTTAATTAAACCTTAGAGAGTGTATTTGTAATTTGCCAAAAAAAAAAGAAAAACAGACCAATACTTGAAAGCTAATGTATAAAAGGGAAATTTCAGTAATAAGAAGTTAATGTCCAATAACATGTGATAGGCTTCAATGGAGCTTATTTGGTCCGGTCACATAATTCTAAAAATCCAAAACGAAACCTTAAAAAAATAAAATAAACAAATAACCAAAATATAAGGGGGAAAAAAAGGACTGCATTTGAGCTATCAAACACTATATGACATATGTTAATAATCAATCAAACGGAAGAAACAACCGTTAGTTTTCTACTACCCTTGTCCTCGATGTATATAATTGTTTCTGCCTTTCAATATCTGCCATATGCATTTGGTGAAACTAAGAGTAATGTTAGAAATTTTAAAAATTTTATCAAATATCTCACATGGGTATGGGACCCACACCATGTGAATTCTATGTGGATACCACACCTATATAAAACGTTTGGTAGAAATTTTGATAAGACTTTTAGCATCTCTTACATTTTTGGTGAAACTAGGCTCTCAACAACATGTGTAAAAATAATCGCTGGCTAAAAAGTGAGAAGCTATAGAACAAATTAAATTATGGCACTTGGGATGGCATTAAACTAATTGTGACTTAATTTTATGAATTTTTGTTAGTATAGAAAAGGTAAAAAGAAAGTAGGGAATTTAAGTCAGAGTTTCGAGAAGAACAATGTTAATGTTTATGGTTATGTTAAAAAATGTTCGTGGAAATAAAAAAATAAAAAATAAAAATTGATTGTTAAAGTTGAACTCAAAATTTAAGTAAATAAAAAAATGAAAAAAAATAAGTAGTTTGATTATTAAGAGATGTAACATCATTAGAAATATTTATGTTTATTAAGATACGTAACATCATTTTCAAAAAAAAAAAAATTAATGTGGAAAATATTTTTTTTTGGATAAATTTGAACTCAATATTTAAATTGGATACTGTTAAAAAAAATTATTTTGCACCCAAGACAAAGGCTTGCAAACATTCCTTTTCAAATTTGCACCACTTCTCTCTCTCTCTCTCTCCCTCTGTGCCTAAGTGTAAAATTTTATTTTGTAAATTTTGCATTTAAAATTTTTCAGTGTAAATTTTGTAAATTTTATTTTTGACAAACTCATTTCAAAAATCTAATTACAAAATTTATTTAAAATCCAAATTAAACAAACTATCTATTTGTATTTTAATCTCAATTTTTTTGCAATAATTGGATAAATTACATTTTAGTTTGTATTTCTAAGATTTGGGTTTGATTTGTTTTCCTAAGATTTGTTTTTTCTAAACATTGATATATTTGTGTTGAGTTTGTGTTTCTAAATCGTAAATTGGTGTTTTTTTTTTTTTTTTGGCGGCGTTCTATGTGATTTTTATTTTTTTTTATGTAGCTTTCAATTTATATGGATTTAGATTTAGGGGTAGTTTAAGATTTTTTAAATAAGTATATTTTTTGACTTTTTATAAAAAATATATATATAGAAAAGTAGAGAGTAGATGTTAATTGATGTAACCTAACATTGTGGAATAATTTATTATGCAAATATAAATCTTATGGGATAATTTATAATTTCTCAAATTTCAAAAAAATATATATTTTAGTCAAATTTAAAGTATTGATAATTTATCCCAATTATAAATATCCATATTGACAATAATACAAAACAATGATGAAAACATACATGACTTTACATCCACCGACACAGTTTCTCTCGCATTCATTCAATAGATTAGACTTTACATCTCCGCTCTCTTCCTAATCCCCCAATATTTGAGCTTTTGAGATTTTTTAGGTGTGTTTGGTTTGTATTTATAGAGTAGTTTTTGAGATAAAAAAAGAATAAAAACTTGTTTGATTTGTGTAATACAAAACAATGATGAAAACATACATGACTTTACATCCACCGACACAGTTTCTCTCGCATTCATTCAATAGATTAGACTTTACATCTCCGCTCTCTTCCTAATCCCCCAATATTTGAGCTTTTGAGATTTTTTAGATGCGTTTGGTTTGTGTTTATAGAGTAGTTTTTGAGATAAAAAAAGAATAAAAACTTGTTTGATTTGTGTTTTTTTAAATATTCTCTTTAAAATAACTTTGGTTTTTTTTTTTTTGTAAAGTAGTTTTTGAGATAAAAAGTATAAAAATTTATTTGGTTTGTCTTTTTTCAAATATTTTCTCTAAAATAACTTTGATTTTTTTTTGTAGAGTAGTTTTTGAAATAAAAAAGTCCGAAAACTTGTTTGATTTGTCTTTTTGTAGAGTAGTTTTTGAGATAAAAATATAAAAACTTGTTTGATTTACCTTTTTTACAAACATGTTTCAAAAGTAACCCTGAAAATTGGATAACCAAACACATTTCTGAGAATTTTTTTGAGAAAATCTATTTAATTTGATTACTCTTAAAAAAATATTTGTAGAATATATTTTCAAAAAATTTCTCCCAAAATCAAATCAAATAAGGCGGAAGTCTCTTCTGGTTTTTTTCCTCATCTCTTTCATCCCCACCCCACCCCACCCCACCCCACGTACAGACTTCTCTTTCCAGCACAAGTCTCTTACAATGGTTGTCTCCTCTCATCAATCTCTCATCTCTTGATTATCTTCAATATTTTTGTCGAACTCATCACCGTCAGACGCTCTTATCTTCAACGAACACAAGTAGAAGGCAGAGCATCAGACTTGTAACTATTTTGTAGAGGGAAGAGAATTATTTTGGTACATCTCTCTTAGATCTGTAACCACTTTGGTTATTTTTTTTAATATATGTAACTATTGGGTTGATTTCTTTCACATCTGTAAATATTTTGTTAAGATCTCTTAAATTTGTAACTATTTTGACATGTATTAGATCTATTGCTCACAACAAAGATTAATCTTTTTTTTTCCTTAAAATTTTATAATTATTTTATTTTAACTCTCTACAGCATTTCGTCCATATATTTTAAGATCAAAAGCCCATCAGATAGGAGTGCTTGCAAATAACGCTTTCTTACCTTTTGCAGAGTCACCTGCTCACTCACTTATATTCCTCCCTACAATTCATTTGATCTTGGGTTCATCCATGGCTTCTAAAAGAACCTTAGATCATTCTTCTTGTTTTCCAGCCTCAAAAAAGAGAAATGTCTCCTCTTGTTTTGCTTCTTCATCATCTTCGACACAACCTCGCTGGACCTATGACGTGTTCTTGAGTTTCAGAGGTGAAGATACCCGCAAAAACTTTACTGATCATCTCTACGAGGCCTTGGTTCAAGCTGGAATTCACACCTTCAGAGATGATGATGAACTTCCAAGAGGACGTGAAATTTCTTCGGAGCTTCTCAAATCAATCGAAGGATCCAGGATCTCCATCGTTGTTTTCTCAAGAAACTATGCTTCTTCGAGATGGTGCCTTGATGAGCTCGTGAAGATCATTGAATGCAAGAAAACACTTGGACAATTAGTTCTCCCAATATTCTACGATGTGGATCCATCTGATGTACGGCACCAAACAGGGTGTTTTGGAGAAGCATTTGGAAGACATGAAGAGCGTTATGTAGATGAGATGGAGAAGGTGGAGGTGAGGAGAGCTGTCCTCTTTGAAGCTGCTAATTTATCAGGCTGGGATTTGCAAAATGTTGCTAATGGGTAATTTTTAACACCCTTTTAATTTTGCTGCTCCTGCTGCTGCTATCAATTTTTGTCTTTAACTAGAAAATCCTACCATGTTGATCCTTGTTGTTTTTACAATTGTCTATTTTAATATTTATTGAGAATTTTATTTATGGATTTGATTAAAAAAATCAAATTTTTATGCGTATACATGTATATCATTTATTAAAATTTAAAACAGACTTACAATTCTTTCGTCAATAATTTTATTTAGGTCTGTCTTGGTTATAAAAACGAAATGAGTGCTGTGCTCTGATTCATTCTTGTATAGAACACTTACTCCCTGAAATATAATGCATGCATACCAAAGTGCATACTACACACTGAGGGCCTGTTTGATTCGCTGGATGGGGGAACCATCCACTATTTGGATTGTAATCCATTTAAAGCTCTTTATCCGCCGTTTGTTTTTTTTTTTAGTTTGTCGGACATGGAGTCCGGCCGAACTCCTTATCCCCCATATGGGAGACTATTATATCCGAGGAGGGGTATAAGACAATTTTGGAGGGACTATTTACTGTTGAGATTAGGTACTAAAATGACCATTTTGACCTTTTACTATTTAATTATGTATTATATTTAGTAAAATTCAATAAAATTTAAATGTCTCAATTTAAAAATAAAATAATTTTATTTAACTTTTTATTGATGTTTTATTTATTTAATTTTTTAAAAATAAATTTTTATAGATATTTTATTGATGTTTTTTTTTTGAAATTTTGTTTATATTTTATTTAATTTCATTATTTAAATTTTAATAGATGTTTTATTTAATTTCATTGTTTAATTATTATTATTTTTAAAAACAAACTTATTTTAAATTTTAATTAAAAAATAGCATATATTTTAATTGATATTTTATTTATTTTATTTATTTTATTTTAAAAAAATAAATTTATTTAACTGTGTAAAAAATAAAATAAAATAAAATTTGATTTAATCTAGCTAAAAATAATTAAAATATTAAAGATATGTTTAATATTGCTATTACTTAGTAAACAATTGAAAAATGGTAAAATAGTCTTTTGTTCATTTATCTTATCCAGTCCGTCCAACTAAACATTGAATTCACTAAAAATAGTCATTTCCAGACATCTAATCCCATAAGAAAACAAACACAGGATACATATTCAATCCAACCAAATAGTCCACGGGATTCACAGTTCCAGGATTCAAGTCCGATGGATTCTAATCCCCCTTATCCAGTCCTTCCAATCAAACACACCCTTATATACTAGACTATATTCATACATATACAACTTATTTGTTTCATTGCACTATATTAAGAATAAGTAGTTCACTTTGTTACTTCAAGAGGTTTTGAATTTTACATTTCTTAACTTCATATTGGGAGTGTGGTTTGTAGGGTCTTGTATTTCCTTAATGTATACTTGCTTCACTTTTTATTTGGATCGAAATTGGCAGGCATGAAGCAAAGTTCATCCGAAAAATTGTTAAAGAGGTTTTATGCGAACTGAAACATACATTCCTAAATGTTGTTGTGCACCCAGTTGGAATAGATTCTCGTGTTAAACACATAAAGTCGTTGTTGAGCATTGGATTAGATGATGTTCGGATGATTGGGATATACGGCATGGGTGGAATAGGCAAAACAACCATTGCAAAAGCTGTGTATAACCATATTTTCCTCCAATTTGAAGGGAGTTGTTTTCTTGCAAATGTTAGAGAAGTTTCAGGACAACTCAATGGCCTAGTTCAATTGCAAGAACAACTTCTTTTTGAATTATTAGGGATAAAGAATCTAAAGATTGGCAGTGTTGACAGAGGAATTAATTTGATGAAAGAAAGACTCCATTCTAAAAAGGTTCTCATTGTTCTTGATGATGTGGACCAATTAAGTCAATTAAATACCTTGGCAGGACACTGTGATTGGTTTGGTGGAGGTAGTAGAATCATCATAACAACTAGAGATGAGCACTTGTTGAAGGGACCGAAAGTTGATGAAAGATACATGGCTAAGGAATTGAATCATGAAGAGTCTTTGCAGCTTTTCAGTTGGCATGCCTTTGGCAAAACCAATCCATTAGAAAATTATGTAGATCTTGCAAATGATATAGTACGTTATGCTAGGGGGTTGCCACTCGCTCTTGAAGTTTTGGGTTCTTATTTGTTTGGAAGAAACATTGTAGAATGGAAAAGTGCATTTGATAAGTTACAACAAATTCCTCATGAGAAAATTCAGGAGAAACTCAGGATAGGTTTTGATGCACTAGATGATAACATAAAGGATATCTTTCTTGATATTGCATTCTTTTTCATTGGAATGGACATATGCTATGTCATTACTATATTGAATGGATGTGGTTTCTTCGCAGAAATTGGAATTAGTGAATTGAACTCGCTCTTGAAGTTTTGGGTTCTTATTTGTTTGGAAGAAACATTGTAGAATGGAAAAGTGCATTTGATAAGTTACAACAAATTCCTCATGAGAAAATTCAGGAGAAACTCAGGATAGGTTTTGATGCACTAGATGATAACATAAAGGATATCTTCCTTGATATTGCATTCTTTTTCATTGGAATGGACATATGCTATGTCATTACTATATTGAATGGATGTGGTTTCTTTGCAGAAATTGGAATTAGTGAATTGATTAGTAGATGTTTACTGAGAATTAGTGAAAACAATGGATTGATGATGCATGATCTACTTAGGGATATGGGAAGGGAGATTATTCGTGAAAAATATCCCAAGGAACCTGAAAAGCGTAGTAGATTGTGGTTTCATGAAGATGTATGCTATGTTCTCAAAAAAAACAAGGTAAGAGTTGAATCTTAATTCTTTCTAGTGAGTTGGTAAGTTTTAGGCTTGGAATGCTAATTTCAGTTATTTTATAGTCTTTTTTCCTTCTAATTTTCTATTTTGTTTTTAAATATTACTATTTTAGGGAACGGAAGCAGTTGAAGGTGTGAGCCTGATCCTACCCATGTTGAAGAAGATACAATGGAGTAATAAAGCATTTGTTGGGATGCCTAAGTTAAGACTGCTTCGAATAAATCATGTGCACCTCTGTGGAAATTTTGAACATCTATTTGAAGAGTTAAGGTGGCTCTGTTGGCATAACTGCCCATTGGAGTATTTACCATCCAATTTTCATCCAGAGAAACTTCTTGTTTTAGACATGCAATTTAGCAGATTTAAAACACTCTGGATAGATGGCAAGGTATGACATTCTTGGCAAATTCATTGTTGGTTGGGATTTGGATAAATTATGTAGTGCATCATGGCAAAAAAAAAATTATATAATTTTGTATATTTTTCTTGGTTTAACAGCACTTCAAGAGCTTGAAAATTCTAAATCTCAGCAATTCCAAATGCCTAACAAAAAGCCCGATCTTCTGCGCACTACCGATGCTTGAGGAATTACTGCTTGAAAGTTGTACAGGTTTAATGGGGCTCCATGAATCAATTGGGCTTCTAGATAAACTTGTTCACTTGAATTTGAAAGATTGCATGAACCTCAGGTATCTTCCAAGCAATATCTGCAAGTTAAAGTCTATTAAACTTCTAAATCTCACTGGTTGCGAAAAACTAGAGGAGTTTCCAGAGCACTTGGGACATATGGAAAGCTTAACAGAGCTTCTTGCAGATGGAACGGCCATTAACCAACTACCTTTCTCTATTGGACTACTGAAGAATCTTAGGAGCTTATCGTTGAAGGGATGTAATAGGCAATTGACAACTAAATCCTGGTTTTCTCTCATTTCATCTTGGGTTTTACCGAGAAAAAATCCAGACTCCATAAGATTGTTACCATCCTCTGTTTCAGGTTTGTGTTCCTTGACAAAGCTAGTTCTCAGTGATTGCAATCTGTCTGAAGGAAATTTTCCATCTAATATTTGGAGTTTATCCTCATTGCGAACCTTGGATTTAAGCAATAACAATTTTCGTAGCCTATCATATGGCTTCAGCCATCTATCCAAGCTAGAATACCTTCAGTTGAGTAACTGCACGAGTCTTCAATCTATCTCAGATCTTCCTGGTAATTTATTGGAATTATATGCTTATAATTGTGCATCACTTGAAAAAATATCTGATCTATCAAAACTGAAGACTCTAATAATGAAGTTGAGTAGCGACCGTCGATTTGAATTTGGGCATAGTCTTTCAAATTGTAATAATGATGGAAAGGAAGAACCTCACTGTTTTGAAGGTGCACAACTCATTCCCTTGGACAAGCTCAACAATATACGTGGAGGACTCAGTCCCTTGGATAGGCTCAACAATTTTCAAAATCCCCTTCAGGTCTCTCTCTCTCTCTCTCTCTCTCTCTCTCTCTCACACACACACACACACACACACACACTCTCTCTCAAGTGCAATAATTTAGTAAGAAAAAGTCTTTGAAAATTAAGTGAAGTGTGTGAAACTAAATTTATTTTGGATGTGACCTATATAATACCAAAGGAGGGGGATTCCATCCGTTCCAGATTATATGGACGGGAGGACGTTGTTTATGTCTAAAATCAACCATTGGGTTCACCACGAGTTTCATTTTGATAATCCGAATATTTCATTTTATCGGATATTTTGTGTATTTCATTAAAAAAAAAAAAAAGATCAATCCATAATATATTCAATTCATCAAATTTGTCACAAAAAAAATGGATGACAATTGTGTTTTTAAAAATAAATAATTTTTTTTTTTTTGTGACAAGTGCAATAAATTAAATAGGTTACGATTATCAGACCGATTTAATTTGTGTGTGAAAGAAATAGATGAAGTGCTTAACAAAATTAATAGTTCAGATTATAGAAACGAAACTTTTGGGTCCCATGGACCTAAGAGCATCTCCAATGGAGGCTCTATATCTTCAAATATAGAGGATCCTATGAAAAAATTCACTCCAACCCATCCTCTATATCCTCCTCCATTTGGGAGGATGGATGTTTCATCCTTCAAATTTGAAGGGACTACGAAAAATGAAGGATTATCTCTATAACACTATTCATATTTTTTAAATACCAATTTTGTCCTCAAGCCCTTTTGTTTTTAAATTTATATACCAATTATATCCTTTTGAATTTTTTGTTATATGCTATAAAATACAAATAACTTTTAATATGTACATCTAAATTTTTAAAATTTGATATCATTAAAAATATTAAAATTATATCTTTAAAATGAGTTTAATATTAAATATATTTAACAAAAAATTAAAAATCAACTTCTATTAAAGTATCCTCTTGGTGAGAAGTTAATGTTAAAATGAGTCTAATATTAAATGTATTATGTGTATAAGTTAATGTTTAAAAAAAAAATGCCCAACAAGGGAAAAAAAATATATATATTGGCTCTTGATCAGCCGGACGTCTGGCCGGACTTCCCAACGGATGTCTGGTAGCAACCAATCCACGCATTGCTGTAAGGAAAATGGATGGAGGGAAAATTAATGGAGGGAAAACTAATGGTGAATTTGGAGGGAAATATTTAGAGAAGAAAATAAAGGTTTGTGGTTGGAGTTTGGATGAACAGTATCATCCTCTATATTTACTTTTTGAATATAAAAATTTATTTTCATCCTCTTGGTGAAAGGATTGGGTCGGAGATGCTCTAAAACAACATGGACTAGAGAGGAAGCTCAAAAAAAACAAGAAACATGGACTAGAGAGGAGTTGCTTATTAGATATGGAAAATAATGTCTAGTATCTTCAACGTTTATTTATTTTTTTATTAAATTTGAGTAAAAGTTTTATCTGATATTGCGCGTTCGAATAGAGTAATCTGAGATTTCATCAAACCATCAGTCGGCTAGTGTAAATTTTCCAAAAATTTGAAACAAATTTTGCAAGGAGGTAGTCGATTGGGGGGACAACCGGCCAATCGTCCGGTGCTCATGCATACCGATAAAGTTAACGACTCTCTACATTAATTTTGTAAAAGGTTTCAGCATCCTCAATTTGATAAAAAATTTGAGATATCTTCAATACTGATTTGGTGATAATGTTGGAGCACTAGTTTAGTATGTTTTTCATCAAATTTAAATTTGATGAAACAAAAGATGAAGCATTGGAGATGCTCTTACTCTTACTAAATTTTTTACTCAAAATTTTTTACTTGCATGATGTGGCAATAACAATTTTAAAAATAGGATTCACTAGTTTTTTCACTGTTTTTATTACTTGCTACATTAATATTAGACGACTGTATATTACATGTTTATATCATCTTTTTATATCACCAACCTACTTGGAAATATGTCATTTATTTGCATTAATTTGTTAATAATTATCTTCAAAGAAGAGAATTAATTATATGTATCCATATAGATGGTGACACAAAATAATGATAAATAATCAGTCATATATAACATTTTTCTACGAAAATATGTTATTTGTTTTCATTAATTTCTTAATAATTATCTCTAAATGTAGACAATACAATGATAAAAACATGTGACAACATATATAACATTTCTTTTTTCAATAACTTTGACGAGTCTTTTAATTCTAAATGATAAAATTAAAACTTACCATTGTATTAATTTGACACAAAAAAAATTTCAATCAATATAATGGGGATGCAGAATGAACATGACATAATCTTAATTATATATATCACATGAAAAGAGCGGGACTTATCATAAAATATACAGGTTTACTCTCAAGTTATTCTACCTATATTTTATGTTATTGATTTTGTAGTTGATTTTGTATCCGCAAATTTATTTTAATTTTTTTTTTTTGTCTAGCACTCTACTAAATAGAAATTCATATGACAGAATTTTCGTCGCAACTACTTCATGGGCAACAATTTCTATACCGGTGACTTGAGCCATAATTTCAGCTATAAAATAACAGGATCTTCTTCGATATCTTTAGAAGTGCCAGTAGTGCAAAGGGAAGACGACTACATTTCAGGGTTCAATGTGGGAGTTGTTTATTATAGAACTGGGGATGAAGAAAACTGCTCCATGGAATTAGATGATTATCCATACCTCATTATTACTGATAAAATAAATGGCATCGATTTAACTTATACCCCAACCTTCTTCGGCATCCCTCAGAGTTGTGTAGATTATGTTTGGACAAGCAATATAGGAGTTGAAGAATCTTTTGGGTATAGAATTAAAGGTGGTGAGCAATTCGAGTTTTGTTTCGTTCTGCCGTCACCTTTTAAAGTAAAGAAGTGTGCGGTGGATCTGATTGTCTGTTACAACAGAGGCGAGTTCAACTGCTTCCATGGATTGAGTACCTACTGGAGCAGCTCACATTTTCTTTTGAATAAATATGAATAAATTACAAATATATTTGCTTAAAATCTCTTATAATTTTAAAACTACAAATATTCTATTGTGAGATTTAGCTTCTCCATGATCAGAGAGATGTTTAATTTGAGATATTGTTCGGCTTGTGGATCCACGACTGGTTCACTTTGGTGATTGAGTTATTTTTTTAAATCTCTGTACATAGATCATTAAAGAAAAAAATAATTCAATTTGATTATTGTAATTATATAATTTTATTAAGTTGTTTATTAAAAGAGAGAGAGAGAGAAGTTACGGAAATAAGCTATTATTTTGAATTTTATTATCCTTCATATAATTTGCATAAGTGGTGGTCATAAAGTTTGAACCCACAACTTTAAAATTAATAGGCAAAATTTTAACCATTAACACCACCTAGGAAAATTATTAAATATTTCCGGAGTATAGACACGTGTTGTACTTCCTAATCAATCATCATTCAATATACCACCTCATGTTTTTTAATCACCTAACACAATATCTTACTTATATATCTTCTTCACAAATCATAATGCTAAGAAATATCACGTGTCTATATCCTGTGATTATTGAATAATTACCCCAACACCTAACAGTTCTAAAAAACAACACCTAACATATCTACTAACTGATTCCTCTTGTATTGTAGTGTGTATTATAAAAAAAGAAATTAAAAAAAAAAATCAGTACGGCTATAATCTTGCAGCTACACAGAACCACAATATTTCTTGAATATTTTGGGCCAAAAAAATTATTAGAAATATTATCAAATACAAATTCATGAGGCATACAATTGCTCCATATGTAATTATTCCATGTACAGATACAAAACCGTGTTAAGACCTTCACATGAAAGGAAAATCATAGTATTTGTCTGTAGCCAAGTGGCAATTTTTCAATGTATTACTCTATTTTTCTCTGAGAATAAGCTTACAATAAAGTTACAACATCGTTGCTGATAAGGGCATTCACTTGTACAGATTATCTATTTGTTCTTTGTATTGAGCTGCAACTTTGTCCCTCCGAATTTTCATCGTTGGAGTCATTAAACCATTATCAATCTGCATGCGAAAAGGATTTCTTGAAGAAACTAGATAAAATGGATATGTGAATGGTTATACAAGTGTGGACATTTACCGTGAAAGGCTCATCAACAAGAAGGATTGGCCCAATTTGAAACGAGCACCCAGAAGTCCTGCATGATGGAAAATCTAGTTAGACATTTGTTTTAAGTGAAGAAAACCGCAGGGGGTAGTTATCTAGTTGTAGTAAACAATAAAACTAAAAAGAAAGATAGAGACTGGTCATTTTTCCCTCACCATTTCCTCAGCTCTTCATATAATAGACTGGTCATTTTTTCCTCACTAAGTTCAGAGGCATCCGCACCTACAATCAACAACTTCTTTGCGGTCACTAAAATCTCTTCTTGTTTGGAACAATTATAGCTCCAAGACGACGTTGGTCCTACACGTGATTATTTTCAAAGGAAAAGTTACACTTCACCCCAAGAGTGGTAGTTTTTTCACAAGTACAATAAAAGGAAATAAAGAGCGAAAAACCCAATTCAAAAGAAAGATTAGAATTTCACCTGGCCAATAACAACAATTTGCTGAATTAAACTACTTTTCAAGGAAGCTTCCTCAAGCTCTGATGGCTCAACATTTTCACCTATTTTTCCCAGCACAGTAGATCAGTTAATGAACAAACTTTTGATTGGCAAATAGTTTCGAGGGAACTTGACATAGTTGCACATAAGGTGCAATTGAAAAGTTATAAAAAAGAGAGAAAAAAAAAAGGCCTTTGTTTAAGAGACCACACATAATTTTTAAAGAAATATTAAAAGCTTTTTCTTTTTCGATAAGTAAGAAGCATTATAATGAATTATCAAATGGATGTAGTCACCACTATTACAATGCCAAACCTCGAAATTTATACAAAAATGAAATTTATTCTTGGTCAACTGTGAAATGTTCACATAAAAAATGCTAACAGTTAAAAGAAGATGCCACTCAGTATAAGTGAAATGGAACAAATTTACCAGTGGTAAGCATTGCAGCAAGAAAGTATCCTTGGCCCAATGAAACTAAAGGCCACATCTACAGCAACTATGTCACTTAAAATGCAAACAATTATAATATAGTAAAAACTTCTAATCATTTAAGAGCATATCAAAAGTGTAGATCTATGGTATGATGGGACTGTTTGTTACAGTTTTTGGGGGTGATTATAGCTTATTTTGATTTGGGAGTCTGTGTCCAACAGTTTGATATAGCTTCTGCTTATAGCTTATTAATAGAAATAGTTTAAATAAGCTGAAAAAAGCTGATTATTTGAAAGCTGGGGCAGGGGTGCTTTTAACTTCTGTTTTCTAATTATCAGCTTTTTACTTAAAAAAGGCTCCACCAAACAAGACCGATATTCTAAACTAAGAAAACATGGCTAGAACTGAAATAAATTTTGACTGCTTGAGTTTCTTTCTTTTTTCCTTTTCTTTCTCTTTCTTTCTTTCTTTCTTTTTTTTTTTTTCAAAACAAAGATGGATAGATGGAATTATAAATGCAATGAATCAAAATAAGAAAAAAACTGGAAGTTCCAACTTGTTACCAGAAGGAACCTTTGGTCACAGCTTCTTAAAAGAGACGCATCTCCTGGTGTGCTCAAAATCTCAAGACAATTCCGACGATATAAAATTTGTCAAAATCAGAGCTATAACGAGCACCATAGAGCTTGCCGAAGATTCACCAGAATTTTGCTTGAAATTTTAGTTGCGAAGACATTTGAAGAAGAAGATTGATTGTTGGTGTGCCAAACAGGTTCCCATCCTAACATATATCACAAAAATACAAAACCTTACAAACCCTACTTCCAATTTGCAGTTAATAAATGTAAAATTCAAAACGTCTTGAACTTACAAAGTGAACTAACTATATATTTTTTTTTAAATATTAAAAACAATAAGGATAGGATTTTCTAGTTAAAGATAAAAATTGATAGTAGCAGCAGCAGCAAAATTAAAAGGATGTTAAAAATTACCCATTAGCAACCTTTTGCAAATCTCAACTTGATAAATTAGCAGCTTCAGAGAGGCAGCTTTCCTCACCTCCACCTTCTCCATCTCATCCACGTAATGCTTTTCATGTCTTCCAAATGCTTCTCCAAAACACCCTGTTTGGTGACATACATCAGATGGATCGACATCATAGAATATTGGGAGAACTAATTGTCCAAGTGTTTTCTTGCATTCAATGATCTTCACAAGCTCGTCAAGGCACCATCTAGAAGAAACATAGTTTGTTGAGAAAACAACGATGGAGATCCTCGATTCTTTGATTGATTTTAGCAGGGCCGAAGAAAGGTCATGTCCTCTTGGGAGTTCATCATCGTCCATGAAAGTGTGAATTCCAGCTTAAACCAAAGCCACGTAGAGATGATCAGTAAAGTTTTTGCGGGTATCTTCACCTCTGAAACTCAAGAACACGTCATAGCTCCTGCGAGGTAGTGTTGAAAAAGATGAAGAAGCAAAACGAGAAGAGCCATATAGGGTTCTTGTAGTAGCCATGGATCAATAATCATCAGTGGAGGAATCATAACAAAATTCACATATAATCTCATTGATGTAATCCTTCACACCATAGCAATAATCTACTGCATGACCTAATTGATAGAAAAATTCCACTCCTACACATACGAGCAACAACTGATTACAAGAATCTTGATTTTGATCACACAAATTGAGTTTGTGTGTAAAATTAGGGCTTTGATTTGTTTATTATTTGGATGTATTTTGAAGGGTAAATTGGAGAAAAAAAAAAAGGGTGTATTCAAAGTAAATTATAATTCTAAATAATTTAATACGATCTATTGAGAAATTAGGCATACTTAATAATTTTTTTTGATGCAAATAGAATTCCCCAAGCACTCCTATTTGATGGGTTTTTGATCTTAAAATATATGGATGGAATCCTGAGAGAGTTGAAATAAAATAATAAAAAAATTTAAGAAAATATTTTTTTTTCTAAATAATTTCATTTTTATAAATGTTTTTATTTTAAAATAAAAAATACATATTAAACCACGACATTATATATATATATATATATATTAATTTTATATGAATCTTTTTAGAGCGCGTCCATAAATAAAATTTTGGATTTGTTTCGTCTAATTGTCCACACGCTAAACTTTTAAGTCCGTAAGGACACGATTTTGATATCATAGTCATTAATCTATCTGTACAATATAAAACACCATTATTGAGGTGGGTTCTTTCTCCTCTCTCTCTCTCTATTTCTGAATCTCATCATTTTTGTTCTTCATCATCATTTCATCCGCCTCTTCCACTTTTATCTCCTCCACTTTCATCTCTTCCATTACTCTTTTTTCCTTCAGATATGTTACAAAAGTGGGATTTTGTTGGAATGGGAGTGGGAAAAAGGGGCAATGGTGATTAGTCCGGGTGAGGTGGGCGACACCATTGAGGGAGATCTAGTGTGTGGCGGAGGAGATCTTAGAGGAGACCATGTCCACTTGGTGTTTCCCGATGTGGGTGTTGCTATTGACAAAGTCGGGGTAGTCCATCATCGCTTCAACGATCGAGAGTTTTAGTAGAGGGATAAGGGAGTTGCCATCGCCGCCGCCACCCATTGGAGGCTACTGGCTGTGAAGTGGCAGACTTTGAGGCTAGCGTCAGTAGATCGATGCTCTTTTCTTCTTCTTTGAATCCGCCATCGTGATCTTCTTCTTCGTGGAACTATGCTTCTCATGAGCTCGCCAAACTCTGTGCTTTAGAGAACGACCCCATATACATTGTTAGAAATAAGGACAAAGGTATGAGATTGCCATGGGTTTGTTATATATATATATATATATATATTAATTTTATATGAATCTTTTTAGAGCGCGTCCATAAATAAAATTTTGGATTTGTTTCGTCTAATTGTCCACACGCTAAACTTTTAAGTCCGTAAGGACACGATTTTGATATCATAGTCATTAATCTATCTGTACAATATAAAACACCATTATTGAGGTGGGTTCTTTCTCCTCTCTCTTTCTCTCTATTTCTGAATCTCATCATTTTTGTTCTTCATCATCTCTTCATCCTCCTCCTCCACTTTTATCTCCTCCATTACTCTTTTTTTCCTTTAGATCTGTTACAGAAGTGGGATTTTGTTAGAATGGGAGTAGGAGAAAGGGGCAGTGGTGATTAGTGCAGGTGAGGAAGGCGACACCATTGAGGCAGATCCAGTGTGTGGCGGAGGAGATCTTAGAGAAGACCACGCCCATTTGGTGTTTCCCGATGAGGTTGTTGCTATTGAGAAAGTCAGGGTAGTCCATCCTCGCTCCGATGTTCGGGAATTTTAGTAGAGGCATAAGTGGGTCGCCGTCGCCGCCACCACCCATTGGAGGCTACTAGCTGTGAAGGATCTCGAAGGCCCTCCTGGTTCATGTAAAGTGGCAGACTTTGAGGCTAGCGTTAGTAGATCGATGCTCTCTTCTTCTTCTTCGTATCCGCCATCGCTATCTTCTTCTTCACGGAACTATGCTTCTCAGGAGCTCGCCAAACTTTGTGCTTCAGAGAACAACCCCATTTGCATTGTTAGAAATAAAGCCAAAGGTATGAGATTGCCATGGGTTTGTATATAGAAACTCTGTTTTATTTTGGTTTTTTTCTGAAATTTTTTTCAATCTCATTTATAATGGTGGTGGTGGTAATGAAAAAGAATGAGGAGTGAGAGATATTTAGGGATAATAAGCTCTGTGAATTTCAACTGATAGAAAAAATAGACTTCGTGAAATTCAATAAATAGAAAAAATAGACTTGGTGAATTTTAACAAATAGATTAAAAATATTAAAATAATTTTGATAGATAAATAAAAATTAAGACATATTTTAATAGATAAATTTTTTCAACAGATAGTTTATTTATAAAAATTTCAACAGATAGGTTTTTAATAGACTTCAGACAAATAAATATTCTCATCACCAAATAAGATTTTTTTTTTGTTGAATCTAATGCCTGTATAGGGTGGAAGGAGGTCGTGGTGGAGAAGGGGAAATGAAAGGGACGGAGAAGTGAAAACATGATTGGAAAAAGGAAAAACATGATTGGAAAAAGGAAGGGTGCAGGCAGCATGAAAAGGGAATAAAAGTAGAAGTATCACTATCAGAAATAGTACTTTTTGCAATCGTCACAAACCGTCGCAAATCATAAAAATACAGTCGCAAAAGACCTTTTGCAACGACCCACGTGGCAAATGAGAGACGCGAATATGGGAGTGACAAATACTTTTTGTGACAGCAAAACAGCTGCCGCAAATTATTTGCGACCACCTAAACTACTTATGGCGACCGCTATTTTGCCGTCGCAAAAAACAAAGAAAAAAATACTAACAGATTTTTTGGAGACCATTTTGTTACCGTCGCAAATAGTTTTCAATGACATTTATAAATAGTACAATAACAGCTTTTTAGCAACAAATTTTTTGTTGTCGCAAATAATTTTTTATTATAAGAGACTTTCAGATCACAACCAGGTCTATTGATAAATTCCACTATCAAATGATGAAAAGGACGAATATTGATGGATCACTGGATCACCATTACAAATGAAATGAACAAACAAATTTGTTATAATTCTAAAACAAATACAAATGCAATACAGAAAATACTGAACCTTTAAAAGCTCAGCAAGTTTAGCTGATTCTTCTCTTGCATGTGCCAGACCTCCTTCCAAATGTTCTTGACCACATATAAGTGGAATCATCGCCATTAAATTAAATTTCTGGCATACTTATTGATATTTCTCCCAGGGACATATATATTGATTCATCATTGCCAAGAATCTCCTGCAATAATCAATACAAAGTAAGTTATTCAGCAGCTATAATTAAGGTAGTTGAGAATTGTATTAAGAAACTTCAAGATATATAAATGAAGGCTATATGTAATAACTTGGTCCTTTCCAATGCCACACAGATATATACCAATATCAGTGTGAAGAACTACACATGGAAAACATCCCAGTTAAACAAATATCCAGTTTCCAGCTGTTTGTGAATTGTAATCTTACTTCTCCGTTATTAAGGGTCATCTCATTGTGCAGAGAACTAATGTCAGCTGGTACAGAAGAACAATTGGATATTTCAGTTCCAATTAATGCTGAAATCATAAGCCCATAACCATCCTGAACATCACATGACATTGGTATTCTGTGCATGATTAGGAAAGCTCTCCAAGCCTGTAAATACAGTTTATGCCCTGTATAATCAAAAAGTTCTAACTTTAGGAGAGAACTTCAGTAGGCAAGCAAATACAGGATTTAAATAAATCACGAACTTAAAAAGAGAGAAGGAGACTAATCAAACTTGAAATGAAAGTCAGCTGTTTTTCAGCCATCACACACAAGCATTTGAAAGAGGATGACTTAAATTGGAAAAGATATGATAAGAGAAACATACTTCCTATCTGAATTATTGAAGGCCAAGTCTGCTTGCAGAGAATCACTTTCCAAATCAATCACCTCAACCTCCTTCCCATCAGCGCTGTGGTCCATATTTACCAGATATATATTGCCGTTGTTACTTATGGACAAATCAACATCCGCTGGTGTGGCTTTTTTTTTGCTTTCTGGAATAGATGGGAAAAAGAGAATTGGATCACGAACACAATCAACGTTCTCATTCACTTCAGAATCTTCCATAAGATTAAGATCACAAATCTTAAATGAACCCGGAAAAAGTTGTTTCTCTTCACTTAAACATTAAAAAAGTATGTCATTAAATGGACATATAAGAAAAGCCATGTACTAAAGATGGAGTAAATAAAACTAGTTAAAAACTCATAATATCTAGCATAAAAATTGCTTAATATTACTACCAAAAGATTCAAGATAATAATGCCAAACATGAAGCTAAGTTTATATGCATGATCATATAGAAATGCTAGAACTACAGTTTGCAAGGAGGCAGGGTGTCTATGGCCATCAAAAGGAAGCTATCTGCAATGACCATGCGCAGAGCTAATACACAAAAAAATAAAAGCAGGGCAAAGGGTCATCCTAAAAGAGTGAAGGTGACCTCAATAACTCAGCATAGGATATTTAACATGACCTTTAAGCATTGAATTGACTATGTTATTCTACAATGTGGGTGTTTGGGAAGTTGGCTTTTATGTAGGTTTTTTTAGTTGTAGGATATTATTGGAGAAAATTTTTTGGGTGTTTGGGAAGATAGTTGGATTTTTTTGTGGTTAGATGTGATGTTTGTGAGAGAAAAAGTGAAATAATTATGGGGTTGGATGTGATATTTTGTTTGGATGTGTTTTTTTTTGGTTTTGCAAAAACTGTCTTTTAGTGGAAAAAATTAAAAAAAAAAACCCAAAAAAAAATCTTGCCAAACACCGCTAATGTAGCCTCATTAGACAGAGAGACCTTTATTATGTACAAGTTTTTCAAAAACCAGACAGCACTGCAACAATAATGTCCAAAAACAAAGCTATAATAACAAAATTGCTACTCCAATGGACAATTTTATTGGATAATACATGAGCAATAATCTGAGTGGAGGAACGAGAGCTGTGTCTGGCCAAATCGTAGCTAAAGGAGAACATAAATGGATAGAAACCAAGAGGAGGAGCCTGGAGCCTAACCAGGAATACTTTCACAACTTATTTCTGCTTCATTAAGATATTCTACGGACCTTGACCATAGCATGTAATAAGGGAGGACATGCATAGCCAAAATTAGGATATTAAAATGAATGCTTGGCAATAACATAAAACATAGAAGTAGATTCATTCTTGACAAGTTCAAGGTCACAACAATTCTTAACAAAATTATATAAAGAAGCTGAGAAGCTTTTATCAAGTGCGATGGATGCCAAGTGCCACATTAATAGTACATACAAAATGTTGCATAGAATATTTATTACCTACTGGAAATTGTCTGCACACCTGTGATGGTTTTAAAATCATATATTGGGACCTGGACAGATTGGACACTTTTGAGTTTCTCAATGCACTCTACAAGCTGTTCGGAATCAAAAGCATCTACACACAAGCAAACATATATTTGAGATTTGCACAAAAGCTCCTGTGCATTCTACTGAATTCCAGTTGCACTATATAGTCAGCAAAGCGGACAGCAAACACCAACAAAGTTTACATACAAATTAAAGGCCTATAGATTGATTATAAATTTTATTACCAGGATGATCAAAGTTATGTTCATGCACTCGTTGTGCTTCTTCAGTTGTCAAGCCACGATAAAATGAATCCTACATATAAGCCACACCAAATATATATAGGAAATTTGAAAGAGAAATTTGCTTTCATAAAGAGTGAGCAATCCAAGCCAATCAACCAGGTGTCTATCAAAATTCCAACCATACACTGCTAGATATCACTCACACTTACGATCATGGCCATAATACCAGAAGGCCGTAGTAAAGCACTCAATAAAGTGAGCTGGGTTTTTACTGGGATCAAATATCATTCAATGAAATAATAAACTAAAAGAAAGAAAATTGCCGAAAAAATAAAATTTAGAAAAGAAACCAAGAGAAATAAAGTGTGCAGAACATAACAATTGGTCAAAATGATCAAAAAGTTCATTACATTCACCACTGCAGTAGTAGATTACACTAAGCATCAGATTTTGAGTAAGAATTATGTAATAAAATTTAATGTAATAAACTTGAATTCAAATTTAATGTAATAAACTTGGATTCAAATGTCCAGATTATATTAAGGGAGCCACAATTTTGAGTGACCAATCAACTTTCTATGACAATAGATTATTATACATGTGTATAGATAAGTAATATATAGATGGGGGTGTGTTATATGGAAAACGAAAAAAAGTTGCTTAAAAATTCAGAGCAATTTAAAAAAAAAAAAAATCAAAGCTGAACAGAACCCATCAATTGCATGAAACAATAAATCAGTCAAAATCCATACTTGGTTCAAATTGTTAGCCAATTGAGAGATGCCACAGCAATCAACAATACCTTATATACATGTGACATAACACTAAGAAAATATGAGTCAATTGATAAATGCGAGAATCTTCACCTAGTTTCAAATCAACTGAAAAACCTCCCCCCTTCTAGTTTCACACACACCCAAGGTTTTAAAAAGCGGCCGCAACCGTTACGTAACGCCGTTACGTAACGGTTCTGGCGGTTACCGCCACCCGTTACGGCCGTTTTTGCAGTGTGATTGAGATTCACAGGTGTGTCGGCCGTAGCGGCTACCATAGCGGTCGTAACAGTGCCGTAATGGCCTGTTACGCACTGTTACGTAACGGTTTCAAACTGTTTCTTTCGAAAAAACACACCAAAAAAAGCTAAAAATAAGGGAAGAGGGATAGAGAGAAGAGGGAAGCTAAAGAGAGAAAATGGAAGAGCAAGAGAGAGAGAGAGAGAGAGAGAGAGAGAGAGAGAAGAGGAAAGAACATGTTATTGATTCAGCTGCTATTCTATTCCCGAAAGATGAAGAACATATTATTGATTTGTTGAAACTGTAAGACCTATGTTATTCTATTCAACTGCTATCACTAAATCATTTTGTTTGTGTGTGTCTATCTATATATTTAATGAAATTAAAATGAACCAAGCAATACATACCAAAACAAAGTTAAAAATTTAATGTAATAAACTTGGATTCAAATGTCCAGATTATATTAAGGGAGCCACAATTTTGAGTGACCAATCAACTTTCTATGACAATAGATTATTATACATGTGTATAGATAAGTAATATATAGATGGGGGTGTGTTATATGGAAAACAAAAAAAAGTTGCTTAAAAATTCAGAGCAATTTAAAAAAAAAAAAATCAAAGCTAAACAGAACCCATCAATTGCATGAAACAATAAATCACTCAAAATCCATACTTGGTTCAAATTGTTAGCCAATTGAGAGATGCCACAGCAATCAACAATACTTTATATACCTGTGACATAACACTAAGAAAATATGAGTCAATTGATAAATGCGAGAATCTTCACCTAGTTTCAAATCAACTGAAAAACCTCCCCCCTTCTAGTTTCACACACACCCAAGGTTTTAAAAAGCGGCCGCAACCGTTACGTAACGCCGTTACGTAACGGTTCTGGCGGTTACCGCCACCCGTTACGGCCGTTTTTGCAGTGTGATTGAGATTCACAGGTGTGTCGGCCGTAGCGGCTACCATAGCGGTCGTAACAGTGCCGTAATGGCCTGTTACGCACTGTTACGTAACGGTTTCAAACTGTTTCTTTCGAAAAAACACACCAAAAAAAGCTAAAAATAAGGGAAGAGGGATAGAGAGAAGAGGGAAGCTAAAGAGAGAAAATGGAAGAGCAAGAGATAGAGAGAGAGAGAAGAGGAAAGAACATGTTATTGATTCAGCTGCTATTCTATTCCCGAAAGATGAAGAACATGTTATTGATTTGTTGAAACTGTAAGACCTATGCTATTCTATTCAACTGCTATCACTAAATCATTTTGTTTGTGTGTGTCTATCTATATATTGTTTGAAAATAATAATAATAATAATAATAATAATAAAAAGCTATAATAACAAAATTGCTACTCCAATGGACAATTTTATTGGATAATACATGAGCAATAATCTGAGTGGAGGAACGAGAGCTGTGTCTGGCCAAATCGTAGCTAAAGGAGAACATAAATGGATAGAAACCAAGAGGAGGAGCCTGGAGCCTAACCAGGAATACTTTCACAACTTATTTCTGCTTCATTAAGATATTCTACGGACCTTGACCATAGCATGTAATAAGGGAGGACATGCATAGCCAAAATTAGGATATTAAAATGAATGCTTGGCAATAACATAAAACATAGAAGTAGATTCATTCTTGACAAGTCCAAGGTCACAACAATTCTTAACAAAATTATATAAAGGAGCTGAGAAGCTTTTATCAAGTGCGATGGAT